GGAGCGCAGAGGACTTTCCTCCGGTCCTCTGGTTCTCCTCCCCCATCACTCACCGTTACCATGGCTCGCTCAAGTATTACCTTTCTCGTCGTCATCTTCAGCATAATCGGGCCCATCCTCGACGACGCGTTCGCCGCTTCGGCTTCCGAGGACCTCCAGGCCTCCGATCTTCACCGGCAGCCGATGATCCTCCCGCTCTATCTCTCCTCCCCTAAATCGTCGTTCCACCGGCGAGATTTCGAGGGCCGCCGTCTTCAGAAATCGGACCCCCCTCGTACTCGTACTTCCAACGCTCGCATGAGGCTCTACGACGACCTCCTCTCCAACGGGTTTTCTTCTTCGAATTTGCCTGAATTGTCTTTGAAATTTTGAGTTTTTAGGTCTTTTTTTTTTCGGAAAATATGATTTTCGAGGTTTTATTTATTTATTGTTTTACTTTATTTTTCGCAGCTACTATACGACGCGGCTATGGATTGGGACGCCGCCTCAGCAATTCGCTCTAATTGTTGATACAGGAAGCACTGTGACTTACGTGCCCTGTGCTGATTGTGAACAGTGTGGTAACCATCAGGTTCGGTTTTGTCATCAATTCTGTATGATTCAGTTTTAGTTCATTTGGATATTGTTCTTTATCCAATTTTTGGGTCCTAAATATTTTGAAGACGTGAAACTGAAGTCTGCGTACAGTTTAGGAAAGCTTTTAGGTGACTCATTTCTCTTTTCTGTCATGATTCTCTCGACTGATAAGTATCAGATAGCTATTTTTCATGATGAATGAGACCGTAATAATTTTATTGAACTTCAGTTGAAGGTAGAAAAAGGGAATCATTGGAAATTATGAGTTAGGATTAGGAATAATCAACTCAATTCGTCCTGAGTGTAATAAAGCTGATAAATTCCTTATCCCTAATGTTAAGACTTCTTTCTTTCTTGAATAAAATTTTATCATGATTCAGGATCCTAGGTTCCAACCGAATTCATCTAGCACCTATGAACCTGTAAAGTGCAATATGAATTGTAATTGTGATAGCAAAGGGGTTCAGTGCATTTATGAGCGGCGATATGCTGAGCTGAGCTCAAGTAGTGGTGTGCTTGGTGAGGACGTCGTTTCTTTTGGCAGTGAAAGTCCACTTTCACCACAGCGTGCAGTTTTTGGTTGTGAAACTATGGAAACAGGCGATTTATATAGCCAACGTGCTGATGGCATAATGGGTTTGGGTCGCGGACGGCTTAGTGTGATGGATCAACTTGTTGACAAGGGTGTTATTGGTGACTCATTCTCATTATGTTATGGTGGGATGGGTGTTGGTGGGGGTGCTATGATTCTTGGTGGTATCTCTTCTCCACCTGGTATGGTATTTGCCCATTCAGACCCTTATCGCAGGTAGTATTCTAATGGCATCTACAAGTTTAATTTGTAACTGTGTAATATGTTTTTTTTTTTTTTGTGCATCTCACACATATACTTTAGTTTTTGGATGACCACAGTCCATACTACAATATCGATCTGAAGGAGATACATGTGGCTGGCAAGCCATTGAAGTTAAGCCCGAAGGTCTTTGATAGAAAGCATGGAACTGTCTTGGATAGTGGAACGACATATGCTTATCTCCCAGAGGAAGCATTTCATGCATTTAAGGATGCTGTAAGGCATCGTTCTTTTGCTGATTTATTGAATACCTGCCTAACTTTAAAAGTCTTGACACCAGCTGTAATATAAGTTGGAGCTTGATCAATAAGCTGCCCTTTTTAGAAAATTGATTTTTTTAATGAGCTATTCTGTACTTAATTGACTAGGTAAACGTAAGTGCTTAAAATGTTACTTGCATTTGATGCTAATTTTCTTTCAGTTTTAAGGCTTCTGACATGAAGAAATTAGTTCAGTTTGCCATCCACTGATATCAAGAATTTATTCTAGTTGGCCATCCATTGATACCGCCTCTAAAGATGTTTTTTTTTTTTTTTTGGTTGGTGCAGATTATGAGGGAATTACATTCCTTAAAACAAATCCACGGTCCTGACCCAAATTATAAGGATATTTGTTTTTCGGGTGCTGGAAGGTATTTTCTTGTAAACTTGCATTGATGGAATATTACCTGTTTGCTTACTAGTTTGCTTGGTTTCGCATCTAAATTATTGGACACCTTCAACAGGGATGTCACCCAAATATCAACATTTTTTCCGAAAGTTGATATGGTGTTTGGCAACGGGCAAAAGTTGTTACTTTCTCCAGAAAACTACTTGTTTCGGGTAACTATCTTTCTAGAACTGTCTTTTCAAAGTCAAGAATGAGTTTTTGGTGAAAATCTGAGATATAATGATTTTGAAGATATTCTGAATCATTGCGGTTCGAACTTTTATGATTGTTATGTATCCATATTTGTGTATCTTTTCTCTGATGTTCTTCTTTCCTTCTTGGTCTTCTTTCTACTATTTCTCTTAAAAGCATACAAAGGTTAGTGGTGCATATTGCTTGGGAATATTTAAAAATGCTGATGCAACTACTCTTTTGGGAGGTATGTTTTATCTCTTCTCTCATTCAGACATTTGTATTCTTTTGTTTTATCATAGATGAAAACACTAGGATCAGATTGAGTCCACCTTGTGTACCCATAGCAAGCAATAGAGCCTCCTCCTTTCTCTGCCTCTGTATGTTGGCCATTTTAATAATTGGAGAGATGTATCTTACTCTTTCTTTGTTTAATTGTTTTAATTGTTACAGGAATTGTTGTCCGCAATACCCTTGTGACTTATGATCGAGAAAATGATAAGATTGGTTTTTGGAAAACTAATTGTTCTGAACTTTGGATGAGATTGAACTATCTTAGTCCTCCTCCAGGTCCTCCCTTAGTTTTTGATAGCTTGAATAGAAGCACAGAAATTCCCCCTAGCGAGGCTCCTGAGGGATCACCTCAGACCGTTTCTCCAGGTAGAGTAAGTTTCGAGCATGTAGTTTTATTTTGTTAAAGTACTGTTACTTTGTACCAGCTGTGGCTCAAACAAGGTACGAGTACTATGTCTTTGGTTGCTACTGGTAGATGTAACATTTTCCGCTCCGCACTTCTTGCCAAAGTTATACTTGTTTGCTGTCAGATTGTGTCATTTCCATCTAGGCTATTGTTTCTAATGACAACTCTTATATTTGACATGTAGGTGAATTTCAGATAGGACTAATAACGTTTGATATGATGCTTGGCATCAATAAATCTGTGAAACTTAATTTCACAGAACTTACGGAGTTCATTGCCCACGAATTGGAAGTTAAAGTTTCGCAGGTATAATTGGGTTATCATGACTTCCTATAATAGTACACTACTTCAAAATTTTTGTTTTGACAATTGGTATTATTGAAAACACATTTTGTAATCTACCTGTGAAATAAATTCTCCCTCTCTCTCAATTATCTTTCTAATTAAAATAACTGAATATTTCTAAACCTTTTGGAGAGAGTATGTGAGTATATAACTGGAATGAATTTAGAAGAAGAAATTAAGGAGATTGAGATACCAACAACAACAACAAGCCTTAATCCCAACTTAATTGGGGTCGGTTATATAGATTTCACTTTTCCACATGATTATGTTCGAAATTAAACTTTCTTGAAGGCCTAGATCTAGAATGTCTTTCCTAACGACTTCGGTCCACGTAATTTTTAGCCTACCCTTCCCTCCTAGTATTAGGTATAAGAATGTCATCTCAAGCACGAACTGGTGCTTCTAGCGGTCTACGTTGGACATGCCCGTACCACCTCAAGCAGCTTTCGCGCACCTTATCTTCTATTAGTGCTACACCTACTTTACTACGAATAACTTCATTCCTTATGCGATCCATTCTCGTATGGCCACTCATCCATCTTAACATACGCATTTCTGCCACACTCATCTTAGATATATGTTGTCTCTTAATAGCCCAACATTCACTACCATATAACATAGCTAGCCAGATTACAGTCATATAGAACTTTCCTTTCAACTTAATAGGCGCCTTGCCATCACATAAAACTTCCGTAGATTTAGATACCAACATTTTTTTGTTTTGTTTTTCTTTTGGTTTAAACATTTCTCATTCAATCAATCAGTAGATTGGAGTTGGAATATCCGTACCCAACTTAGTATCACCCCGAGTGAGATCTATTTTAGTCCTTTATAAGTGCGATTATCTCTATTACTTTGTTTATGTTGTTCCAGAAATAAACTTAACTTTCTCTGTTCATACTACCTGGTGTTCGTTTTCAGGTTCACTTGATGAACTCAAAAGTTAAAGGAAACTATTCCATTATTAGATGGACCATCTTCCCTGCTGAGTCTGCCGACTACTTTTCGAATACAACAGCAATGGTAATGTCATGCATGGCATTTAACTTTTTAAGTATATAAACTTGAAAAGGTGGAGCTTTTCCATCTATTGGTTTATGTTGAATCTAAAGATGATTTGTACGTGCAGAACATTATTTTGCGCTTAAAGGAACATCATTTGCAGCTTCCTGAGAAATTCGGTAGTTACCAACTCGTTGAATTAAAAGTCGAGCCTCAAAGGAAACAGTATGTTCTCTTTTCATGTTGTTCCTTTTCTATTTTCTGTCTATCAAATGAATAGGTAATAACTGGAATTAACATCATGAATCATAAAGTCTGTTTTAAATACACATGAGCGGGCGACTGGCAACAAACCTGGAATTACACTTAGGCTTGACTTGACTATCAAGTAATTAGAGATGCAAGGGTCTTCAGTTTTGTGCATTTGGACTTTTTTCCCGCTAACTACAAAATTCTAGGGGAAATATTTGGACTTAATTTTTCATATTTTGACACACCTTGTTACCGAAAATCTTTGTACGATTTACATGGTTATGGAGGTAAGCATGTACTTATTGAGAATGCCAAGGGAGAGGTGCTGCAAAGAGAGTTCCATATCCACGTGATTTTTTACTTTTCTTTTTGGGTTATTTTTTAACCTTATTTTGTTCATTTTTTGTCAATTGGATTATTCTTATTTACAATTCCTTACGGGCATTCTAAACTTGGCACGGAACTTAGCAAATTGATGCAACATTTTCTTTTCTTTAGTCACATTAGAGGTCTTTTGGAGAATTGCAGGTCATGGTGGAAGCAACATGTATGGATGGTGGTTGTTGGAGTCGCAGCTACCTTATTTTTTGTACTATTGGCATTGGGAACGTGGTTATTTTGGAGACACAGAAGGCAAGTGGTGGGTTCTTACGAGCCTGTTGGAGCCGCTGTTCAAGAATCTGTCGGTGCCGTTGTACCTGAGCAAGAGCTTCAGCCACTTCATAACAAAATCTTTATCCAGGAATGATCGATTTTGTATAGTGTAATTTAATATAGTGAGGAAATCCTTCTATAGACAGCTTAAGAAGTTTATTTCCAATACTGGTGACTCGATTCTGATCATACGAGATGAAATCTGCAATCCCTCCTGTTGTATAACGAAATTAAAGAAATATATAATATATAAAGGAATTAAATTCATGAAGTGTCCCTAAATTTTCTTCTCTGCAAATGGTCCTTGGATTGAAGTTGTATCAAATCACGTCTCTAAACTTAAAAAAAAAAAAAAAAAAAAAGTGAAAGTTAATTACTTGCTAATTAATGGATGAAAAATGACTGGTCAAAATTACTTGGTTTTCATTTAAGAATTATTCTGCACGGATCATGAAATGGCGTCAACATCTAACCAACAAAGCTATTATCCAAAGCGAAACAAAAGTGCCAAATGTCTGGTGTCCAATATATTGTTTACATTAATCAATCTGAATGCAAAAATAACTTCGTGAATTTTTGAAGGTTACAAGCATAGCTCTTCTTGTGGCTTCTATACATACATACATATATATATATTCGTTGGGAAATTGGAAACCAGCTCAATGTCTGTTTTTGTATGGCAATGTGAATTATATTTTGTAGGAAGAAATGGCAGTGATAAGCCTCCCGTGCGTTATACGTATGCTCGAAGGAAGCACCACCACGTGACAAGGTCGGGAGCTGAAGGAAGTGGAACGGGAAGTGCAAGTGGAGGGACAATTCAAGGAGTTGCTAAGGTGGAGGGAGCACTCGAGGAAAGAAAGGGTGTGGTTGAGTCAGCAAGTGGTTAATAGTTAGTTAGTCTTTGGGTTTGGTGAGAGTAATAAGAGATACAGAGTATAAATAGAACAGAGGTAAATAAGGGATGATTCATTCAGTTTGTGAAACTTCTGAGAGAAGAAAGTCTAAGGAGAGCAAGGGATCTCTCGAATATCCCCATATTCTTTCTGTAACCAATTTCCGCCATTAATACAATCAACCTTTTCTGTTAGTTTCCCTTATGATTTTGTCATAATTCATCTAACTGTGATTTGGAGCATAACATTTTGGTATCAGAGCACTTTTCTGGAATGACGAGGAGAACTGACGACCATGAAAAGGAGAGAGCTGAAGGAACGAGGGAAGAGTTTGCGAGGGAATTGGAAGAGGTACGAGAGGAATTGAGGAAGATTCCTCGGCTAGAGCAAGGTATGGACTTGCTGCTGGCAAGAATGGAGGAATTGATGAAACTATGGAGCCATGAGCAATAGGATCCTCAGACGGCCGGAATGGATGCACCAACGTGGAGATGCCGACGTTTGACGGCAAAAATCCCGATGGTTGGGTCTTTAGGGCTGAGAGGTATTTCACGATGAACGGTTTGATGGAGAATAAGAAATTGGATGTAGCGGTTGTAAGTCTTGACTGAGAAGCTTTGGCATGGTTTCAATGGGAGGATGGCTGGCGGGTGATTCAGAATTGGGCGGAATTGAAGGTGATGATCCTTGAGCGTTTCCGACCAACGCAGGAAGGCAACCTGTGTGAGAAATTATTGTCGCTACGACAGGAATCGCCAGTAAGGGAATATTAGAGGCAATTCGAGGTCTTGGCGGCCCTGTTGAGGGACATTCCCAAGCAAGTTCTGGAGAGTTCCTTCGTAAATGGTTTGAAACCATATGTACGTGCAGAAATTAGATTGATTAAGTCCATGGGACTGGGGCGAATTATGGAAGTAGCCCAGAGGGTGGAAGAGTGTAACCTCTTGGTACGCAGCCCAAAAGTGCAAGGCCCACAGTACTCAAGTTGAGGTAAAGGGAATTTTTTAAATGAAACTAAAGGGGGCCCAACAACTTCCAGTTTTGGAAGTGGAATTCGCTTCAGTGGGGCGTCGACTGAAAAGGGGAAGTTTTTGGAGGAAAGAAAGTCAAGCAACCAGGGCACGGGAGCAGCACCATTTAAGCGAATGATCGACGCCGAGCTACAAGCAAAGAAAGAGAAGGGTCTGTGTTACCGATGTGATGGAAAATATTTCGTTGGCCATCGTTGTGCGAACCGTGAGCTGCAAGTCTTGATAGTCCGAGAAGAGGAAAATCAAGGGGAAGCAGAGGAAGAGAGGGATGAGGCACCCGTAGAAGAGGAGATGGTGGAATTATCTCTCAATTTGGTGGTTGGTGTGACGGCACTAAAAACCATGAAGCTTAAGGCAGTCGTCCATGGATGTAGGGTAATTGTTTTAATAGATAGTGGGGCTACCCACAATTTCATTTCGTGTGATTTGGTTCAGAAATTGAAATTATCGGTGGATAAGATGGGGGGTTACGGAGTGGTGATGGGAACCGGGTTAGTGGTGAGAGGATAGGGTATTTGCCGGGGAGTGTTAGTTTCCATGCAAAAGATTGAAATAGTTGAAGATTTTTTGCCATTAGAACTAGGAAGTTCGGATTTGATATTAGGAATCCAATGGTTGGAAACCTTAGAGGTTGTGTCTGTGAATTGGAAGACTTTGCTTATGAAGTTCAGTTTAGGAGAAAGGCAGGTGGCATTAAGGGGAGATCCGGGGTTAAACAACTCGCCGGTTACTCTGAAGGCTTTAATGAGAGCTTTGAGGCATGAAGGACAAGGGGTTTGGGTAGAGTTAGGAACTCTTGGTGCGGACCAGTCTGTCAAGGAGGAGAAAGTTCCTCTGGAATTGCAAATGGTGTTGAGCAGATACGAAGAAGTTTTTGAAATGCCAGAAGGACTGCCACCGGTTAGAACCAAAGACCATGCTATTGTTTTGAAAGAGGGAACTTCCCCTATAAGTGTTAGACCATACCGGTACCCTCATATACAGAAAATGAAAGTTGAGAAATTGGTTGGGGAGATGCTAGCGGCGGGCATAATACAGCCAAGTGTCAGTCCGTATTCTAGTCCAGTTTTGTTAGTAAAGAAAAAATATGGAAGTTGGAGGTTTTACGTGGATTACCGTGCTTTGAACAGAGAGATGGTCCCCGACCATTTTTCGATTTCGGTGATAGAAGAACTTTTGGATGAGTTACATGGGGCCATGATTTTTTCGAAGATCGACCTTAAGTTAGGTTATCACCAGATTATAATGAAAGGCAGGGACGTGCCGAAGACGGCATTCCGTACACATGAGGGCCATTATGAATTTCTCGTTATGCCCATTGATTTTACGAATGCTCCGGCGACTTTCAATTGCTTATGAATGACGTTCTTCGCGCTTTCCTCCGTAACTTCGTACTCATTTTTTTTGATGATATACTCATTTACAGCCACTCTTTGGAGGAGCATGGATTCCACCTTGGTCAGGTATTGTCGGTTTTGTAGCAACACTAATTATATGCCAATGCTAAGAAGTGTAGTTTCGGGCAGCGTTCAATTGAATACCTTGGCCATATTGTATCTGCTGAGGGTGTTTCGACTGATCCGATTAAGATAGAGGCCATGGTTAATTAGCCGCCTCCCTCCAACTTGAAGGAATTATGGGGATTTCTCAGATTGACGGATTATTACTGGAAGTTTATGGCGGGGTATAGTCAAATTGCAGGTCCTTTAATTAATTTGCTCCGGAAGGATAGTTTCCGATGGAATGCAGATGTTGGTTTCCGAATCGACTTCGGATGCGAAAGCGTGGGGATAGCGGATCAAGTATAATAAAAATTTTCATAAAACCTTTGAGATACTCTATAGATTATATTAATTTTTGCACGAATAAATTAATCACATTAATTTATTTATTAAGAACTCAATTACGAATAATACCTGACGGCCGATTAGGATGATAACTTGAGTTCTTTGACCTTGAACAATCCTTGCTCCAAAGCCTTATGTTTAGAAAACCAATGTCTTCCACGTCAATTCCTAGAATCTACGAAGACGTGTGTGTGGGCACACCTGAGACAAAACATGTTAGAATAAACACTCAAATTTCTACAAACACCAACGCATGCACGATGTGGAATTTTTGGAGAAAAATATTTTTCTTCTCACTCTATAGAGAATTTCGGCCACACTTAGAAATATAGGTCAAAAATTGTGTCTCACAATTTTCTATCATTCTCTTATTTATATAGTATAAATCAAACTTCTAGAAGGAATCCAATCTCTATCTCTAAGATAAAGCTTGTTAATTATCTCTTATTTGAATTTGAAACAAAAGTCTCCTACTCCTTATCCTCAAGATGACCGGCCAACCTAGGTGATCCTATCCATGTGGTAGGCGCCAAATACAGATAGGAAAGGAAAAGAAAATCATCATTTATCCTGCAGTCCAATTTTGATTCAAATTCAAATTCAAATTTAAGTCAAACTTAAATTAGTTTGAATCCTAAATTGAACAACTTATCAAATAAGTTTAAAAGGATAAATTTAAATTATGTTCACAATTCAAATTCAAATTTTAATAATCACATTATTTAAATAATAATTAATTCTCAATTAATTATTTTTGAGTGTTTAATTTTAGAATTCCGTAATTCTAAAATTTTCATTTTGCCCTTTGTGTCTGGTAGAATTACAA